CAAGATCGGAGCCCGCAAGATTGGAGTCCACCAAGCATGGACCTAAGCGCTTTCTACAGGATGCAGCAGGAAAACAGTTTTCTGCCCTACTTATCTCTATATCAGCCCTACAGTAACTTTCTGCTGGCGTCCGGCCAGAGCTACTTCCGGCGCTTCACATCGCAGCTCAATTCTTATCCCGCCTTCGATTATTACATGTGCTTGGACGCGAAGAACTTGTACGCATCGCTCTTCGGTAAACATTGTACTTACTTTCTCGAGCATTGCACCTATTTACGTGAGCGATATTGCGCTCCACTCGCTAATAATATAGAGTGCCTCCTCGTGTTTCCATCCTTGTTTGTTTCCAAGTAGTACGAAGTCCTTGATAAATTTAGTCTCAATTTTTCCATCGGGGAAAATATCGCGAGAAATTCCACGGTAACATCTTGACATTTCTAAAAATATTTTCTAAAATTGTGTTCGAGTCCTTCCGCTCTCAATTAATTGTCCCTACCACTTTAGCAACTACACGGTTTGGATTGCTTCTCAGAGAAAATATATTGAGATGTTACAGCTTTAAGCATTTTATTGCATTCTTTTATACGTGTATAGTCGATAGAAAAAAAAACAATGAAATTATTCGAGAGTTTGTTGGCGCAGAATGATTTGTGTTTCGCTTTATACAGAGAATCGCATCTCGATTACGCGACTAATTCTTTTTGTGATAAGAACAGTGTCAAAGTCGTCAGTTTAGTTCGCGTCAGTCCTTCGCAATATATCGATTTTTTGAAAACTTAGAATAAACGTAAGACTCGATACGATTAGAAAATATTCTTCTATCCACTTTTTAACCGACTCTATCTCCCTCTTCTGTTTCCCTTATTGCCTGCCATTTAGAATCGATTGGCTCGACTTTTTCGATTAAAAAGATTAACGGCAAGTTAGTTAAGGAATCCAAGGAACGAAAAAAAATACAAGTGAAAGGAACAGTGAAAGCGGTCTCTTGCGTAACTCCACGATATATAACTGCATTACATTACTAGGAACTATTTCTTGAACGTCTTGAAAAATTTGGCTATCAATACAAAAGATCAATATCCTCGTCACATCTCATGATGGATAATCGTTATTATCTTTGACTATCATTGTTACGCTAGGCGTACGTCACTCATACATCGTCAGAGCGCATTGACATTAGCAGTCGATCATCAGTCTGATGTATGAATGCCGCGTTGCGTGTACGGCTAAGCGAAATATAATTGCACCACGAAAGCTACGAGCTGTAGGCTCTTTTAACGAGAATAGAAGATAGAGAGATCCGATTCATTCTCTTTGATTCGGTAATCACGACAGATATTTCGCAATATCAGAACATCACAAATGAATAATTCGCTCGACCAATGTCCACGGTGATCGATCTATTAATAGCTCGGAAGAGACAACTGTCGCCCCAAGTACCCGTAATCACAACCTGGCCTTGCGAATTGCATTCCTTCCTTGACCTCGAACGGCTGTAGTCTCCACATTCTTTACGCGATAAATGAGAGAACACTTCGAGCGGCAGTTACGCTCGGAATTATCGCTTCATCCAGTATCAGCTTTTTCGGTTTAAATAGATAAAAATATTCTCTTTCGCGTACAGGAAATATTCTGCATTTTTCTCTTCTATTTCAACATTTTTCACTAAAATAGATTCTTTGGAAATTTAGATCTGCGTACAATATATATGTATAGTACTTTCGAACTGATAGCACAATCGATAAACGATTTATCATAAAAAGTCTCGAATATATTTAAACGATTAATAAAATTCATAAGGCTCTAATACGAAAACACGAAAATACGAAGTAACAAAGGAGCAAAAGCCAAGACAGGATGTTAGTGTCTAAATAAAGGTTTTAAGTCTATTGCGAAAAATAATACCTCAGCCGGGATTTGAACCTGGACCTCCCTCTCACTAGGCGGGCGATTTTTATTTAATATCATTCTCATTTTTTCCAAAAAACACACTTTTTCTTTTTATACATTTCTTGATAGCTATTGACGCGACGAATTCACCAGAGTGTGCATATAAGTGCGTTTACGCATCACACATTTATATCTTAAATTTCCACTTTTTCTTTTCTAACGATTTATCATAAAAAGTCTCGAATATCTTTATTTAAACGATTAATAAAATTCATAAGGCTCTAATACGAAAACACGAAAATACTAAGTAACAAAGGAGCAAAAGCCTCCTATCTAAATCTAAACTACAACTACAACCACACAATTTTACTCGTACGACGATCGTGAAATTTAGACGTGGAATAAAACTTCACACTTTGTTCGTAATCGTACGGAATATTTTTGTTTATCGAATTAATTTCATGCTGTGCGCGCTCCCGACACAAGGCTGCCCTATTACCATTGTTACTATTACACGTGCCGTCTCGGTATATCCTTCAACACCACGGGATACAATGCAGCGCTAAGAATGCATCGAGAGCAAACGGGGTGCTTTAATACTCCTCACTCAGCACCATCTTCCAACTCAATTACAATCTACCGCAGTAACTTCCCCATTAGGGGAAACATAACACGCGCCACGCGCTTTTTCCGCAGTAAAAGAGAACGGTTACTTTTTCTGAATGGAGGCGCCAGAAGGGCGATATGGAAATCGAATCTTAATTACCTTCTTCACTAATACATGTAAACTTTCGACCGTGCTTATTTGCAAGAACCTCTTTGAATGTTGTTAACGATATCGCAGTTTTTACTAATTATTAATTCTTATTCTCTCGGGAATCATTAATCTTATACTTAATGGTTTTTAGTGTCCATTAAGTAGAAAGAAAATGTATTGAAATGAAGAGATTCGTGGAATGATTTCAATCACATAACTTTTTACGTGGAAAGTTGCGTTATTTTTCATATCTTATTAGAAATCACAGCAATATTTCTTATGCTATAAGATCTAAAGATGGTATTTTCACTTTGTACTTTTCACGGTTGATATTTTTTTTATACATTGCTTTATTATGTGTAGCTAGAAAAATGATGTCTCAGACATCAAACTTTTGTGTGGTTCTGTGTATCAGAAATTCATGATTAGTCCGCGGCATTTTGTAAATCAACGTCAGGCGAAAAGACTGCAAGCAAGATAATTAAGTCGTAAATAAGTGCGCGCAACAATGAGCGTAGACTTAAATTTATTGAAGTCGCAGAGCGATCGTTCGAGCGAGACTATGAAACGCGATATGCCTTTGAAAGCTCACCAAACTTAGCGGAGTTCGAGGGAACTCGTGAAGACGAGAGTTCGACTCTGTGGGCCAAGATAAGCACCGTTGTTAAGTCTTTCATCTATTTTCAGACAATATATTCCTACGTGTAATATAAAATGTAAATATGTGCTCACAAAGAATCGCACTTAAGCGCATTACGGACTTTTAAAGATCTACTTTTTAAAAATGTGGTAGCGACAATCCCTTTTATTAAAATATTAAGAAATATTCGAAATATGTTAACTTCTCTGATCGGTAGTTGCGTTGCCTTTGTATTCTCCCTTTAATACTCAAGATCCAAATATTCGAGAGAACGATCGTTTCCCAACCGCGGCAGACCGTGCAGTTCCCTCCGACAAAAACTTGTGTTACAAATGCAATAAAATGTACCGGTAAAGTAGCTGAGCAGCGTGTTTATCGCGCGAATAGGACTTAAAGTTTCCTCCGTGGAGAGTGGGTGATTATGGGCGCGGCTAACGCGAGGAAAGCACGTCCCGTGTATATTGGAATCTATTATGAGAGGCGCTATTTTTATTGGGAGGGGAGGGGGTGGGTGCTTTGCGCATACACAATGCTGTATTGATACGGGATTGCATAACGAGCGGTTGCTTATCGAGATCAACGTAATCAGATGTAACGCGTTCTAAATACGTCATCGATGCCGTTTGCAACTTCAGCGGTTCTGTGAATTTTTCATTGCAACATTTCTGTAAACGAAGCGACGATTCTAATTATTCAGTTTTTCTGCTACCTAGTCTTTTATATACCGATTCCAGATGATGGTATAATGTGAGTAAACCGAAGCAACATACTTTAGCTCTTTTCTGTGTTACTTTTTCTTTTCTCATTCTCAGTCCCGCGACTTTTCTTTATGGCCGGTAATCGTAATCAGATCTTATAGTTTCAAGGCCGTCTTAAGTTTATCTTAAGATGCTGTATGGAACATTTCATTGGCTACGGAGTATCTAAAGCGAAGGGGCAAACCGCTGAGGGCATTGTGGTGTACAGATTTGCGGCATTACTGGGCATTACTAGGCATTTTTGGGCATTAATTTCGGCTTCAGGCCTTACTGGGATATTATAAAATAAGATAAAACAAGATAAATGTGATGAAATTGTCAGCGGTTTACCCCTCGTTCTAAAGATGATCTTAAGACGATCTTAAATATAAGATCTGACCATGAATACCGTTATTTTATCACTTTGACGTAATCTTCCAAATTTGTATACTCATATCGAACAGACTTGGATTCTTGGTTAACAAACGAATAATTACGCGGTACATAAAATTTATCCGTCGACTCGGAATGACAACGGGACGTTCAGCGTGTCAATCTGGAATAGCAAATGCCAAGGAAAACGTCACGTCACAGGGAAACGCAACACGTTACGGCTCCATCATAGCTCATTATCTCACCTTCACCCTCCGATATCGGCTCGCGCCGCCAATTAGTCGCGTATGCGACTGGTGTCGATCGGGCGCACAACGTCATTAATTTGCCCCAATTCCCCCGCGCGCGATGCCGATTTCCCTTATCCCGCTTCCGCTCCTACATTCAATTTCATTAGTCAGATGTTAACGCGCGGGTAACGATCCCCACGCACTCCCGCATTACTCCCGTATCACGAGCGTATCATAGGGGGATAAAGAGAGAGAGAGAGAGAGGAAAGAAAAGAAAACAGAAACGTCCCGCCGCGTTACAGGGACTCTCCGCAGTCCGAGTATAAACGTGAGACCAACGCCTTATTTCTCAGACTCCCCGGTATCCCTCGGATCAGCAGGCTCGCCGCAGGGGAACCCGACGACGGACGCACCTTCACCCATAAACTTTCCTGCTCCAGGGGAGAGCATGGCCGACACGTCAACCCTGTCGCCGGAGACGAACATGCCAGGCTCGCCGGGCTGCCAGGTCAGAGTGTCGAGCGAGTACCTGCTGGGCAGCCCGAGTCCAGGGCCACCGCGCGGTGGAGATTCCCTTCGTGGTACCGGTAGCGGAGGTGACGGCGGAGGTGGAAGAGGAGGCCAAGAGGGTCGCGATGCGGGGTGTTCGGATCGCGCGTCGCCCGACTCGGTCTTCCCGGATGCCGGTCCGATGGTGAGCTTTAGGGTCGCCGACGAGCAGCAACAGCAGCATCATCAGCAATCGCAGCAGCAGCAGCAACAGCAGCACCAGCAGCATCACCACCACCACCACCAGCAGCAGCAGCAGCAGCAGCACCATCACCACCACCAGCAGCAACAGCAACGCTCCGCCACCCCCGTAACGATCAAATCGTCGCCGTACTCACCTGTCCAGGCGGTCTCGTCGACTCCGATTGCCCAGGAGGCCTCCTCGAGGAGTGACAGCCCGGATCTGAAGGGCGACCTATCGTCCATCCAGGCCAAGGAAGAGTCCGACAACTCGGTCTTCGACGGTGGTGGAGGCGGCGGCGGCGGCGGTGGTGGTGGTGGTGGTAGTGGTGGCGGTGGCAGCGTAGGTGTCAGCGGTCGTTCGGAAGCCTCCAATCAACCTAGTCACCGGAATAGCCCGTCATCGCAATTCAACCTGAGCCAGAACGTCAGTCCCGGCGCGGTCGGCTCGGCGGGACCGCACGGGTCCATGCAACAACAGCAACAGTCGCCGCCGGCGCCGCCGAGGCCGCGCGCGCCCTCGGTACCGCCGCACCTACTGGCGGCCCATCATCAATTTTGGTCGCAGAACCCTACCAGCGTGCAGGGATTCGCTACGCAGAGGCTACTCAACGGTGTCATCAGCAGCGCCGTCAGCTACGGCGGGCAGAATGTCACGACCGTCTCCACCAGCTCCGGAGGTGGCACCAGCAGCTCCAGCGGTACCAATTCCAGTACCAGCTGCGTCACTACCGGCGCTACCACCACGGCAATCTCGTGTAAGTATCGCGACTATCGTATCATATATTCTTACTGATTGTAAGTCGAGCACCTGTCGTACTAACGTTATTCAATTTATCCTTTCGCATCTAACCGTTCACCAATTTTCAGTTAATTACACCACGACGAGGCGCAGATTAACTTTAATCTCGGTTTAACTTGCTTTAGATTTCTCTCTAGTTTTAAAAATTTGAAAAAAGATAAAGAGTAATTCATTGGTACAAACGGGCATAAGTGTCAGTCAAAAATCCTAGCAGACAGAAAACTCTTTCCTACCGTTTTCTCACTCTACTCTATCATATGGTCACGTGACAAGTGTGGAATATAAGTGGGAGAACAAAGGCGGTGCAAAGAGAAATCTTACGGACACGGAAGTTCAATTACATAAATAGACCTTATGGAGAAAAGCATTGAGACACGATCGATGATCGATAATCCGTTCCAGGCGAAGGTATGAAACCACCGACGCAGAGAGCAGCGCCGGCACCACCGCGGCCCCCGCCCACGGTGTTAATGGGCGAGATCGGCGGTGTCCGTACGATGATATGGTCGGCGCCGCCGTTGGACCCGGTACCGCCACCGGCGGCATCCTGGTCGGCCACGGCGGCGGCCGCCGCCTCGTGCTCCTCGTCGGAGGAGTCGGCCGCCCAGCTGCTGCTGAACCTCGGCCAGGAGTCCAGGGGCAAGCCACCCTCGTCCTCTTCCGCGGTCTCGTACTCGTCCGTCGTCGGGCCACCGCTCAACATGGAGAGGCTGTGGGCCGGCGACCTGACGCAGCTACCGGCGGCGCAACAGATGCAGGCGCTGAATCTCACGGCGTCCGGTTCCGCCGCGCAGCCGTGGGTCAGCAACGGCGGCACCGTGGTCAAGTCCGAGGCGGCCTCGCAGTCCATATCGGTGGCACCGCCTGCGCCCCCCTTGCCGCCGCAGGAGCACGAGGAGGACGAAACGCCTATGATATGCATGATTTGTGAGGACAAGGCGACCGGCCTGCACTACGGTATCATCACGTGCGAAGGGTGAGTGACCTTAGCCACGCTTGCGCGATTAAGTTACAGTTAGCCCTTTCGCGTATTATCCCCCTTACATACACGAACGACTGTTCGCAAATCTCGCAGATGCATCGTTCCTTTTACACTGCCGTTCAAAGCTTTGAAAGCAGTTAGAAATTGTTAACTCTAGAATCATCAAAAGTCAAATATAGATTTTTTTGAAAAGAAATGTACGTTAAACTTTTATTATAGACGATTTCTGTAAAATTATTAAAACATATAGATATAATTGAATGAAATTTATTAAAATTCTTTAAAATTCGAAACACAATGGTGTATTAATAGCATTAGTTAACAGCGATGTATTTGAAAATTGATTTTTTATTTAGCTAAAAAATATGTCTGTTTCCAAGCTTTTGAACGGTACACGGAGAGAATTTTCTTTTCAAATTTATCCTGAAATTTATGCGATCGTGGGGCAACAAGGCAATTCAGAGAATTATCTGAGAGTTTTTCGAAATTCCACCATACATTTCACTAATAATTATACTTAGTATACATTTTACTAGGAAAATGTGTGGTAAAATTTCAAAACTCACAAAGCTTTTCAAAATGCCATGTTGTACCACGGTCACATGATTTTCAGGATAAATTCTAAGAGAAACTTCTCTCCGTGTAGTGAATTTATTAACTTAAATATTCTATTTTTTCAATTCTGTTTTATTCAGCATAGAGGGGAATCCCCTATTTTTAGATAAGCTCCTAACATGAGATAGCGGGGTTTTTGCTTAATTAATAGGCTGTTGGTCCCACCATAAATTTATTGTCCTTGGAGTGAAATTGTGGAAAATACATTGTTAACTCGTGCGTATAATCATTGTGAAAAAGATTCATGAAATTGGATGTTGAAAACCCGCTATCTTGTATTATAAGTTTATCTCATAATAAAGAACTTCCCTATACATTTCGTAATGTATTCAAAGTGTGTAAGGTACACGATCATGTCCCCCGCGACTGATTGAAATTCATTAAAACAAAGTCGCAAATATAGAAAGAGACCTATCTGATTTAATATCTGATAAATATATTTTTAATGTGAATTTTTCTAAGCTATAATAACTTATCTTCGTGTTTCTCCTCACTTCTTCTTTCGATAGAAATTTATGCAAAATATTTCGTCATCATTCGCACAGGCTGCACGTGCAGAAGGCACTTAGGTTAAATTCACGAGTTAATAGCATCGCATGCGAAGTCATGAAAACGAGGATAGTGGCAATCTATTTACTACGAATAACAGGCACACTTTGTCCGCGATAATTCCACCCCCGCAGCATCAAAGACGCATTTGCGCGTAAAATGCGACTAAGTCGCACTAATGAGATCGGTTAACTAGGATAGGTACTTATACGTATATGTAGCCTTTCGTGGTGATATGCTGCAGTTCAAGAATCGAACCGACATTCGCTCCATTAGAGCTAATTATATCGAAGCTACCTGCGCAATATGGGAAACGCGCGGTTAGCTGATCGCAAACGCGCGTAACCTGCCGCAACCTTCGACCTTTGCCAGCGTTCGAGGAAGCGCGCCTAGCTGCATTTCGCGGACAAGAAATGTCGAGTTTTGAGCAAACTAGCCCCCTCAGAGCGTCCTATCGTCAATCTGTTTACACGGGAAGGTTCCACGCGCGCGTGGAAAACGGGGATTCGCTTTCCTAATCCATTTCGTTACTGTTTGTCTTCTTCAAATGTAATTTTATCCATTTCGTACCTTAAGTCACTCCGCAGGGGAGCACTCCTTTTTTTTTCATCGACAAAACCCTTAAGCACAAGCGCGGTAACGTTTTCCCATATTTCCAATACTTATATGTATCTTATGATTTTTATTTTTCATATTCTTAAATGTTTTAATACTTAAAATATTGTTTAAATATGGAGGGGTCCAGATTCAAACCCTGGCCGAGGTAATATTTTGCGCAATAAATTTCTCTAATTAGAATTTGCCAGTTGCATTGTTTAGCAATTTTTCTACATCGGTTAATCATGTACTGGCAATAATTCTTTTTTTTTTAAATACTCCGTTTGTTAAAAAATTAATGTATTAATACTTCAAAATTAAATGAAATGAAGCTCCAAAAACGAAATGTTACATTTTATAGACAATTGAATTCAGATTAAATTTGTCGAATATACGTCGAATAAATTCTAACAAATTAAATAGAACACACCAAACGCCCCGTTTGTACCTCGTTGGTAACAGAACAAAACTTTTTCGATTTATTCATAATTTGAAAAATGTATCCTTATATTCGCGCGACACTCTCTTCTCTCGTTTCGTGCCTTGGCTCTCGAAATATATCGGCATGCGAAAATGTATTTGCACCTTTCACGCTACGCTCCCCTTTATTTGGGACGTTTGCTCGTGTTCAGTTACAATCGGCGTTTAACTTTATCGGTTTGCCGAAACAAGATTAAGTCCGCCGAGGTACGTCAGTTGCCTGAACAGCCATAATTCGTAACTTAGACGGGATTAAAAATTAACCGGCAATCCCATCATTTTCCCGCCCCGCTCTCGCAGCGCAATGTCTACGCGAGACGAGGGAATACTTGTTGCGTCTACACCGCCGCGTGTACTCGGATGACTTCTTGAACAACACTTTTGATTAGTCCGCGAAATTACCACAGAGTATCGTTACTTCCCCGCTCGTCCTTGTCCAACTTCGTCGTCCCGAACGAGCAAGTGGATTAGACGAGAAAAGTCCGCGACAAGTTTTTCCCTCGTACCTCCGGCACTCGTAACTCCGCGCAGATGAATCCTTGATTCAACCCTGCTATTTTCCCTGTCTAGAGGCGCTTCTCAAGTTAAACAATCCGATCCGTGACAACAGCTGTCCTGCATAAAGAAGCCGACGAGAGAAACCACGGGGGCGGATTTCACGCTTAAAAAAGAAATTTAAGATAATCAGTATCTTTTTCAGACTTTTTAATGCGAGCTCTTGGTCGCCTGTTTTCTCTTTTTTTCAACGTTCAAGGGATTTCAGAGATTAATTGTCAATCCGGCGTTTCTATAATCTACTATAATTTATTTATTTCTTCGGTTTTTATTCGTAACTTTCGGTCGGTTCGTCGAATATTTATCTGAATGTTTTCACGAGTTATCGAGTCATATCGAATTCTAACGGATTGTGTGAGTCATATGTAGATCGGTTTTTTAACGTAAAAATATCCTATCGTTCAAAAATCTGAGATTCGGTTGAAAAATGTATTTGTTATCGGCGGCGTAAGTGTTAATTAATGCGGTGTAAAACCGGACTGAGATAACAGATAAATTCTGATATTCACTAATCAAAAATACAGTTTGATCGTGTCGACATTTTTATCACACCTCGTCGAACATTTCTAATCCGCGACTCGCATTTTGCGGATGCTGAAAAAATGATAGACTGTTCTCCTTGCGTACGGAAAATAATCCTGAACTTCGTTCGTCGCGTTTGAATTTTTAAATACTTGTACACCTCGGCTAAAATCCGCAGAAATTTTATACGTTTTTGTTTCAAGCTCGCTGCGTGAATGATTTCCCTTTAGATTATTTCTGTCGTTCAAATTCCAAGAAATAACAAAGTATTCGAACTCACCGAACGACGCAGCAGTTATCCTTCTCGATTAATCGGTTAATAATCGGCAAGCCTTCGCTCCTCGACGTTCTTCGATTTTTTTTTGTTTCGTAATTGCAGCTGATATCTTTTACGTTTTTTAACAACGCGCCGTTCACGACAATCAGCGAGTATGCAAAAGTATTAGCGAATTCGGTTGGTTGCACTAGTGCGCACTGAGTGCGCACTAAGCCTTGTTTCCAGTCAATTCTTATCCAGAAAAATGGTCTGTACAACGTTTGCACGGATCATTTTTTGACTGAATACTCTTTGAACGTGTATTTAAGACAAAGTTAAGTATAAGAACCGACTATAAGCAAGCCTTAGGCTGATGGCAGAGAACGATCCGTAAACGCCTAACGTCTGTCTTGGTGGTAGACGTAAGGCAAGGCGGAGAAAAACTTCAGTCGTATACAATAGACTTTCACGACTCACGTTTGTCTCTGCCTTTCCTTACGTCTACGGCTACGTCAGTCTTAAGCGCTTACGGATAGTTGTCTGCCATCAGCCTTAGTGTGCACTCGGTGCGCACTAATGCAAGCAACCGAATTCGCAATATGACACGCGCACCATGATTTGACGGCACCTATTATCGGAGGCGATCAATATCGATTTCGTATGCCGAAAGTCGCGTAGAACGTAAGCCCAACCTAACCGCGATTAAACCAATTAGCACGCAATTAATCGGCCGGCGGATTATTAGCTCCCGGCACTCCCGAGAACTCGAGAAGAAGCGCGCTCGCGATGCGAAACGATCGTCCGTAGATGCCGCCGAATTCGGTTTGCGCCTCGACCGACCGACGCCACGCCGCGACGCGTCCATCATGGCGGGCGCGCTTAGCGTCTATCGTGCAGCTCGTATCGGACTGCGCATCGGAGAATTGAAGATCGCGCGAGTTTGAGATCAGAGTTCAAGTCAAGACGAAACGGAATAAAATTGCACTTACCGACTGGTCGTGCTCTAACCTTCGATTCGCAACTCTCGATCTTCGACGCGGAGAAACCGGCGTGGGTTTCGCGCGCGAACATCGCTCGATCTCGATTGCTCCGTCACGACGCGGCGGCCCCTTAAGAGGATCCTGAGGCCATCTCGTTGAGTTCGGCACTCTCGGAGCTCAACCGTACGCGGGACTCGTCCGGACGAGCGAGAGGAAAACGCAGAGCGGCCGCGAACTCGGTTGCGCAGCGGCGACGCGCGACGCGACCTGACCCGCCGGTTACGAGATTCGCTCGCGGCTAACTTCGCGCGTTTACACGGTATCGAAACATCCATAGACATAGTAAATGTAGACTGAGGCCGGTCGAATCTCATTTCCAAATCATCTTAAGGCCGGTATTCATTGTCCGTTCTTATATTTAAGATCATGTTAAGTATACTCTCAATGTGTTTTTAACCAATCACTGAGCCGTATTAGCGTCTTAAGACGACGCTTAAGATGATTTCGAAATAAAGCCAACGGCACACGATACGATTTTTCCTACTGGATCACTTACGAGAACCCAGTCTACAATAGAGATTTAAGCCCTAAGCCTTAAGAAATTGACTAATCACAGTCGCGCATTCTACTCATACTTGACCGGGATTGGCCAATTTCTTAAAGCTTAGGGCTTAAATCATCTATTGTAGACTGGGACTAAGGATGCACAGTTTTAAATCAGGTGGCTTAAAGTTAAATCCTGATTGGCTCTCGTAAGCAATCCATAAGGAAAAATAGTATCGTGTGCCGTTGACTTATGAATATCGGCGTAAGTGTTGTCTTAAAAGACTAATACGGCTCTGTGATTGGTTAAAAACACATTAAGAGTATACTTAAGATAATCTTAAGCCAACGGCACACGATACTATTTTTCCTACTGAATTGCTTGCGAGAGCCAATCAGGATTTAGCTTTGAGTCACCTGATCGAAAATTCTGCATTCTGATTGGCTCTCGTAAGCAATCCAGTAGGAAAAATAGTATCGTGTACCATTGGCTTTAGATATATAAGAACGGACTATGAATACCGGTCTGATTATCCCATTGAATAAGCTGAAGCTTATGAAAAGAAAGAGAGAGAGAGAGAGAGAGAGAGAGAGAGAGAGAAGATTTAAAAAGACTTTCTTTCTCTGTCTTACATCATTGTAAAAGAAAAGAATCGTGCCTGCGCAGTACTACACAGGCTGACAGGCGTGATTGTCACGATAATGAGACTGAGACCAGAGTTCCGTTTGGGACATGGAGTGTATGTACATACATACAACACGTCTTCTAACCTAGAAGAAAAATTTTTGATCCTGCGGGGTTGCATCATCCCGCGCGAGACCCGATAGTCCTCGCTTTGTATATCACCAATTAATTACCTATAATTCTACAACGTCTATTGGTTCGTCGTGGCCGTGTCGGCTATCATTTATCAGGAGCTGGGCACCATAATTAGAAGAAGACAATGGTGAGACGGAGAAAGAAAGTCTTCTTAAAACTTCTCTTTCTCTCTCTCTCTCTCTCTCTCTCTCTCTCTCTCTCTCTCTCTCTCTCTCTCTCTCTCTGAATTTAAATTAAATTTAAATTAAAGATACAAAGGGTTAATGGGGACTATTACTCAGTTAAGATGATTATCTTGGAATAAAAACTCAATTTGTTCCTTTTCTCATTTAGTACAACTTTTCGAAGAACTCGCGTTCCGATATCGATGATGGGAAGTCAATAAACTGTCTTAATGCGGTACAATTTCTATAAAAAGCTGTTTACTTACTCCTTTACTTTCCTCGGTATTTATACCAGACGCATCTTTAATAAGTAAAAATATTCTCTTGATATCATCTTTCGACCTCGTCCATCAATTATTTTTCCTATTTTTCTAGGTCCGGGGAATTGAAACCGATATCGGCAATTTTTGGCGATCTTAATTTCCCACGTGTAAACATGCGCAAAAGGAATTATATTACACATGCATCAGAATGAATTACTTCACGTTTTTAAAAAGCACAATTTTTCTTATTAAATTATCAAGAAATCAAAAGGTCTACTGTACTGAAGACCAGGCAGCTGCCTTTTTTTTTGCCTATAAAAATCGAGGCACACTCAATTTTGGACGTGCCGTTTTAACACAGATTGTCATATCATAAATATTCATAGATGAAACTATCGGCGGGATGTGTGGAGAGGAAAATAATAAATCTCTGTTCAGTCGTGCTCTTTCGATATCGAGTTAGTTCAACACCGTGCGTCTAGGTCGCGACCTATATACTCTATATTCCATACACGATAAGTCGCGACAGTGTAAAGCTGTATAAGCTGTGTAAAGTTGTTAAGCGACTCGACCTGGTTTCGGTCAAGTCACTTTTTCGCGTGCCCCGATCTAACTTGGGCTGCGCGAGGTAACGCGTCGAAACGAGGGTAGCCTAAACTTCGTCACGAGTGCGTTAAATGCACCGATGCATTTTCATCTTGTTTACAGCGTTCGCATGAGGCCTAATTTTTTCTACAACGTGACTTGCACACACTCTGTCCCAAAGCGTCGTAGTTTGCGTGATGCGAACGTTTCGTTCGATGCGTATTTTAGACCAGGCGCTCGGTCATGAATCTCTTCCTCCGGCGTGAACTCGTGACAAGGGAAAACTTTCATTAAAGAATTCGACATTCGTCAATAAAATTGTTCACGTTCCACGAGTTTACGCTAGAGGAAAATATTTATGGGCCCCAGAAACAAAAAGAATATTCTTCTTTTGAAAAAGGATTTAGTTTGAACTGAGATTATATCGCGTTGAAACAAGAAAACCTTGCCTGACTGAAACAACGCTATATAATTCAATCCAGAAAACTTTATGCTTATTATTTAAGAATAATTTTCTTGAATGAAAAGGAAACAATTGGATAGGAAATAACAGATTTTCAAATCGAAGATTGTACAACGATTCAAATGATTTGATTGCCAAAATAATTACATGTATTCTTGAAGTGACAATTGTAGTATTTAATAAGACTGTAATATCGTTGGAATGTGAGATTATTAAATGCTTTCAAGATTATAGGTAGTTGCGTATATACGAAACAATGAACGCGTTAATTTGAGAATACAAGAGTTGATCTGACACTTAATTAATCGGTATAAACTATCCCTTGTGTGATTCCGTTCTGTTACTTTATGAGGATTTCCTCTGACTGTACATCCATGAGTTAATCGAATCGTAAATTACAAGGGTTTAATTGATTTGCACGCAGATGTAAAGGCTTCTTCAAGAGGACCGTGCAAAACAGACGGGTGTACACGTGCGTGGCGGAGGGAGGCTGCGAAATTACGAAGGCGCAGAGGAACAGGTGTCAGTATTGCCGGTTCAAGAAGTGTATCGAACAGGGTATGGTCCTGCAGGCGGTTCGGGAAGACCGGATGCCTGGAGGAAGGAATTCCGGTGCGGTGTACAACCTTTACAAGGTACGCGCCGAGCCTAGAGTTTCAGCAATCAAATTATTAGTAGACCAAAGTTCCCTGTTATGAGATAGGATCTTAATATGGGATAGCGGGTTTTCTACTAAATTAATAGGTCCACCCTGAATTTATTGTCCTTGGAGCGAAACCTGTTGAATGGAAAATTCATTGGCTGATGGCAGAAAACGATCCGCGAACACTTAAGTCTGTCTTATTGTTAGTCGTAGACGTGAGGCGGAGCCTAGCATAAGTCGTGAAAGTCTCTTGTATACGACTTAAGTTTTTATCTGCCTTGCCTTACGTCTACGACTTAAGGGTCTTAAACGCGGATTCTCTGCCGTCGGCCATTGTTAGATTGTGCAATCGTTGCGAGGAAAGATTTGTGATTGAATTTGGGTATTGAAAACCTACTATCTCATATTAGAGACCCATCTCATAATAGAGGACCTTCCTCTATTAATTTCTACCATTAGTATTAAATTTATGCTACGATTTACGTCCGAATTAATTGATTAATGCAATTCAACTGCAATCGATCGTGATCGTTGAGTGAGATCGCCTGTTGGTTTGGCAGGTGAAGTACAAGAAGCACAAGAAGAGCACCAAGGCGGGCGGCGTCGGCGGCGGCATGGGCGGCGGCGGCAACGTCGGCGGTGTAAACGGCTCGGGTACCCTCGCGGGTACCAAGGGTGCCATGGGCACAACGATGCTGGACAAGCACATGGCCGCGGCTGCAGCCGCCCATCATAGCCAGCAGCAGCAGCAGCAGCACGCCCAGCTGGCCGGTAGTTTCCTCCATCATCACAAAATCTCGTCGGGCGACCAGCTCGGCTCGCCGCCCACCCCGAGCCACCCGAACCACCCCGCGCATTCAGGCCACCTCGTCAACGGGACTATCCTGAAGACGGCGCTCACCAATCCCTCCGAAGTGAGTGTATCTTCTTTCTCGTTCTTCGAGCAAATGAATTTTAATGCCGCTCGAAGCGGTGCATGCATTTTCAATGCACCGTTGCCGCACAGGATCGCTCGAGGAGAGAAGAACTGAGTCACGAGGCAGAATATGTCAAATGCGCGCGCGGTCTTCCTCTCGTAAAAGTGTTGGGAAATCTTTTCGCTGCTCAACATTAAATGCGCGGGATATTATAAAATTCGAGGCTTTAAGAAAACGAGATCTGTTTAAATTAGCCTTGAGATGTGTCTTACGCAGCTTACTTAATCGTGTTTTCACGTCATTTCTCTAGTGTCAATGAGATAGTGATTTAGCATCGCAATGATATTTAACGTAAACTGAGAAATGACGAAAAATAAATGTCCAAGCGCACAGATACCTCAACAAGTCGGCGATCGTCGAGTCGTGCGACGAACCCACCTCGAACGCGAGAAATTTCGTCGGAGCGGATCGCGCGATTCACATCTCGCCTACTTCCGTGTGTCCCGCGAAACGGAATCGTCAGGGAACTAGTCTCATTACGACGGAGTGCATCGCGCGAGCGCCCGTTTGCAGCTTTTACTCTTTTCACCCTTAATTATTCGAGCGTTACGTAAGGCTAATGTCGTCAGCGGCGTAATGTAGATTAATCTCGGCTGCGAGATTTATGCATATTACCCCGCCGGTGATGTGCGTGAGATATCCGCGGAAACTTTCTAAAAGTCCGTCCGATCGAATCGCGCGATTACGCGACCTGAAAGTTCGCCGTTAAATCCGCACGAGTGGCACGGGCGGACTTCGCGCTTGCCTATTCTTGTGCCCGCGCGATCAACGGCGAGATCAACGCCCGCGCGTCGTGCGTCTTCGAAGGATCGCGCTCGCTTGCTGTTTACGTGATTTATACGCCGACGCTCCGGTTAGAAATCGAGTGTGGGTCAACAAAAGTTGACTCCTCGATCGCCGACGGGGGAATCCGATGCTCTGGGATGAGAATGTCCCGCAGGCATCTTCGCTTTCACTTTCGCAGCAGCTGCGGCGCAAGATCGCGAGATCTTCGCGGACGGCCGTTATTCGTCCCGGCGATCCAATAACGTGTTACATCTCCTGCGCGCTTATTTACTTCTTTCCGATTTGTTTTTTTGGCTAGTTGGGCAAGAAAATATCCGCTTGGGCATTTATTTAACGTTAAATATCATTGCGACGCAAAATTAATACATCTTATTGACACTCGCTCCGAGTTTAATCTCTCTATTCATTGGCAGCGTTGATTTGTGCATACTTTTAGATTTATTGGCGATAAATTTCCATCTCGTTAATGTCCATTCCTAATTTATTTCTTTATTTACTTCTATTAATAATAAACTGTACACGAAGTCAGTACGTTTTAGATTTATTAGCGATAAATTTCTGTCTCATTAATTTCCATTTCTTATTTATATCTTTATTTGTTTATTTCTAGTAATAATAATAAATTGTATACGAAGTCAGCACGTCGTGCGCACGTTACGTGCTCGGTTGATACGTGCGATACGCATTTACTATCCTTATCTGGGAAAATAGAGATCGAATGACCACTTCGATGAAGTCAGAATTGCATCATCCATATCTACAAATCTATTACGGCGTGGAACCTGTTACGTTCGTAAAGTAAAAAAAATCTTGGATCAATCATCGCGGAACATAATACACTTTTCTCTTGACGTGGACTTTTAAAAACAACGTGATACTTGCTCATTAAACAACCGTACTGACCATACTTTTTGGCAACGAGCCATAAAGTAAGCAAGTAACATGACGGAGATATCACTTACAAGTCGAAACCGGTAACTTCTGAAAAGGAAAAAAGAAATGGATTTGTTGTTACCGAAAGGAGGATAATTTCGAGAAAATGAAACGCCTATTTGTCTAAAAGGCGCGCGGTCTGAAGGAGGGAATGTTTAAGTATCCATTGAAAATCTAATTGCATTGTAATCTCTGAAAAATTCAGTGGTCATTTATTAGTCGTTACTTTTATTTTGCGTGAAAAAAAATTGAAAATATTCCGACGCGAATCGTCGAGCGAAGTGGAGCTACAAGAGGAAAATAGCAAATTCGGCGCGCGTCGATCGGTTTCCTTCGCGCCGATCCTGGAATGAATGAACTCCCCGTCGCAATTTCACTTTCTTACGACTCGGCTTGCGCAAGCCTCAAGGTTTCCCACATTACGAAAGCCGATAGATAGAACGAGCGGAGTAGCGAGCGCGCGAGAATCGGCCGATCGTCGTCGCAGTTTTTGTGTTCATCTACGCTCCTTGTATAATACGCGATACTTATATAACTTGCAAAATTATATATGTCTTTGCGAAGCAACGTTTTCCGATACTACGTAATTTTGCACAAACGACATAAGCAAATTTTTCACGACGACCATTCGGTGAAGAATGTTACATAATGGAAAATTACTTGTCGAAATCATTTTAAAGCCGTTTGAATATAAATTATTAACACGCCGAAAGAAAAATGTTGCTGCCGCAGCTAAGAACTGCATGTGGCAACAAAATTTCACACCGTAAAAGAATTACATGTAAAATTACAATTATTATAGTGGGTAATATTGGAACCATCCATTAAAGGTGTATAATTACATGCGTCAGTAAATTTACACCTTGTAGGTAAAATTATTACCTTATATAATAAGTGAACTGCTTGCTTTTAATTGTGTAAATTATACAATTTTTTTGTAATTTTTTATCAGGCGTAAACAAGTATTACACAACAAAGAGTAAAAACAAATTTTTGTAAAAGTACGTAAATTTATATATTTCCGTTATAGTGTAATCGCTACGTTTATTATGTATGTAATTTTACACGCTTTTCTTTGCAGTGCGGTTGTAAAATATGAACGGCTAATATTTAGTTGTGATAGCTAAATATTTTGCTACTGTGCCTATTGTATTAAGTGCGACGGCAAACCGTTTGCTGCACTTTGGAAATCTATAGTCATGGCAGCCAAATATTTTCAGCAAACCATGATTATATATAGCTACGGTAGTGAAAAAACTTGTTTTCCGTGTAGTATACGCGCGGATATAATTTTAAAAGTAAATTTACCGTCGACAAAATTAATTCTTTTCGTATTGCACGCATCGAAAGTTCGACTTTCTCAAGGGAGGCTCGACGGGAGTAACGTAAAAATATGCGCGTTACGTCCGATCAGATGAGCAAACGAGGGAACTGCCGCGATCGTTGAAATATCCCGGTAGAGGCCATTGCCAAAAGTGAAACCGATGCCGCGAAAACCGGATAAATATTGACCGCGGCTGTGCTCCATTAAAGAGGTCACTTTCGAGCCGCGGCCGATTCATCGTACGTGAGATGCACGGCAAAACCACACGTGAATTTCGTGTAAGATAAGAAAGAGCCGCGGAGTCGACGGGGTCCTTTTCTTTAAGAGGATGAATATTCGGCACGTTTCGTCGCGAAAGTAAGCGTAAATAAATTACTCGGGCATTTTACTCGATTCCAATTGAGCTGTCGTGAAGATTGACGTTTATCTTCACTAAAAGACACTGCTTCTTCTGTTTCTTCTTCACTTCATATCTAGAAAGATTTTAAATGTATGTATTTTCAAAGAGAATCATTCGCCTTCATGTCTACTTAATTTTAATAAATATGGCAGATATTTAGGGGAAAAAAACAATATTGTAAGATAACTTTGTAAAAATTAAAATTATAAAATACGAACATGAAACTTTTTAACACATTCCATCAGTTTACACAGAGATCTTTGCCTTTCTCACACGCGTTTGTTACAATTTCGCTAATGACGCCTGAAACAAAATTCATGACTGTTTGGTACATGTACCAAATTGTACCAGAGTGTACACTCAGCGTCATGACTGCCTTTACGTCTGAAGAAAGACGCTAAAAGATATCCAATAGGAAAATTTATTTTAATAAATTTTAACGACTGTTTTCAGGTGTAAAAGCTGTGCGTGACGCCGATTGTACACTCTGGTACACTCTGATATATTGTGCACTAGAAATCACTGATGCCTTCCCATATGAATTTAGTCACAGGTAGAACACGGTTTTCCATGTATGTATACGCAAAATGCAGGGCTGGGAAAGTTACTTTATAAAAGTATCTGGTTACAGTTACAGTGTTTTCGCTAAAAATGTAACCGGTCGCAGTTAGAAATTACTCAAAGAGTAACGAATCGTTGCTCTGCAGTTACTTTCTTGCGATGAAAGTAAAAATATCAAATCTGCATTTGAATTGTAGAGCGTCGATAAAGGCGTTTATGCAAGGCCTAATGCGATCCGTGGAGGTTTAATTGAAAAAATGTAACTGAGTTAAGTCACAGTTACAGACGGAGAGAAAGTAACAAAGTCAAGTTAGAGTTACCAAAGAAAAAAGTAACCGTAACTTCGTTACAAGTAACGAGTTACTTCCCAACCCTGGCAAGGTGTATAAATATCTTAATATGTGCCTAAATTTATATGGGAGGGCATCAGTGATTCCTAGTGTACCAAACAATCGCCTAAAGACAAATCACTCGTACACGATACATTCCCGCGCGCATCAGTGCAGCTGATCAACGAGCCTGACCGGTATCTACCAGATATTGAAGTAATATCGGATATCTATCCTTTTATCAAGTATCGTAAATCGCCGTTCGTTATCGTCGCTGCGTGGAAACGTCGTGGCGACGACGCAGGCAGGGACAATAGAAAATCAGCGGCAGCCGGTGCCAAGGACGGGCAGTTCTCCGGCGGTTTCGTAACTCGTGAAAGTCTGCACGGGGGACAGTGACCTCACCCTCCCTCTCTCTCCCTCTCGCGCGTCCTCTCCACCGACACCTCCTGTGTATCTCCTCCCTGGTCTCCCCCGCGAAACTCTCCCGTCCCTCCCTCGTGCCGGGCGCCTTCAACTGCAAACGTCCCACGGTTCTCCGCGAGGTAGTCGCTTATGCATGGACCATATCCGGCAGAGCGGCCAGCTTTCCCCGAAGTCAGACGGAAGCCCGACACGGCGCGGGGCCCTTTCTTCGTCCGCCTCTCTTTCTCTTTCCACCTCGCGCTCGCGTGACTCCGTGCCCGACCCCGAGGAAATGTTTCGAGGTCCGAAAGGTCAGTGAAAGGCTGAACCTACCGGTTGGATGCGCGGCCGCCGAACTCGGATTTCGCGCGCGCGACGAGAGGAAATGCCGGCGGAATCGTAATTAACGCGCGGATCTTCGCGGGATAACTTTTCCGCGTTGTAAAAATGTTTCAAGGCCGCGGGGATTGAAATCCCGACGTGAGATAATGTAACTGACAAAAATTGATCCAGCTGGATAAATCTGAGAGAACTTCAATCGGCAACTCGGTTGCATAAAATATTTAAAAAATGCAAACAGTGCGTTACCTCGAGTAAAAGAAAAACCCCCACGCGGATAGAATTTATATGTTAATGATGTGTGTTTAAGGTGGTGCATTTACGACAAAGGCTAGACAATGCAGTAAGCAGTTCGAGGGATCGAGTATTTCCTCTGGACGCAACCTTAACCATGATTCAAACCCTTATAGACTGCGACGAGTTCCAAGATATCGCCACATTGAGGGTACGTGAATGTCATTCTCTTAAACGTATGGTTTAACTTGAAGACAATGGCACATATTAATACATAGACATTAATTTTATTTTTACAAAAGAATACACATTTTTTTCAATGTGCAATGTGCTCGATAAAAATTATTTAACGAATTAATAAAATTCATAAAGCTCTCACGTGGTAAACACAAATTCGAAGTGCCTAAATATTTCTTGTTTTAAACTTATTGCAAAAATAATTACCTCAGCCAGGATTTGAATACCTGGACCTCAAATTTTATTTAATCGATTCAACTGATTGATTGTTTATCTCCATAAACAGTCATAAGTTAATAATTTATTTCTCCCAACTGATTCGTCCTATTAAAATGTCATTTGAATGAAAAGTTTGAACTACAGTTACACGACCCTATCGCGCTCCAAAGATTTGTATATGGACCGTTCGCGTTACAGAACTTGGACGAGCTGCTGGACCATAATTCAGACTTAAGTGACAAGCTGTGTCAGATAGGAGACAGCATAGTGTACAAGTTGGTGCAGTGGACCAAAAGGTTACCGTTTTACCTTGAGCTGCCGGTCGAAGTTCACACGAGGCTGCTCACCCACAAGTGGCATGAACTTCTCGTGCTAACCACATCTGCCTACCAAGCGATGCACGGCCAGCACAGGTTGACGAATATCGCTACTGACGGGACGGGTGCAGACTTTATGCAAGAAGTAATTATGGTTTTACGCTCATTTCTAGCCGTACTTGGGCATTTCGTAAACTAAATTTTTCCTTGCAATGCCACCCGACACGTACAGTACCGGCCAAATTATATCACTTTTCCATTTTTTTTTGCATAACTAGGTTCAAAGTGCACGATTGAAAAATTCGAAAATCATGGTGCATTCTGTCAAATTTCGTGTACAAGATGTACCTGTTATCGGGTGTGTACTGTACAATTTGGAGCACGTTCGATGCATTTTGACGAAAGTTGTGCTCGGAAAACCTAGAGGTGGTTTGGCCGGTACTGTATCTTATAAAAGATACAACAATAATTTTATCACCTTTCACTCCCGTCCCTTTTCGAAAGGACCTTGGGAAAACCAAGATTTCTATTTAAAAAACCGCTTTTTATTATTCTTACACGGAAGTTCTGTTGGGTAATGCGACACGTGTTTTGACGATAAAAGTATACTTTAGTATCGTCAATTCTTAATATAATAGTTAATGTAAACGTTAGTAATATTGTTAATTTTTAGATATATTTCTAATAGCGTATGCTTTGTCTGAAGTTTATAAATACGACGAATACGTGTGTGGGCCCGTTCTAATACAATCTTCACAACCAGGTAACGAACAACATGTATACGTTGCAAAGGTGCCTAACCAGCATGATGGGTCGGCCGATAACCATGGACCAATTGCGGCAAGACGTAGGGCTCATGGTGGAAAAAATCACGTATGTCACGCTAATGTTCAGGCGGGTGAGGCTACGAATGGAGGAGTATGTCTGTCTAAAAGTAATCACTATGCTCTCACAAGGTAGGTACTTTTACTGAATCCGCCGTTCCCCGCGTCTGTCATTATCGCGTTTCCTCGGTATTACATGATACAGCGAACGATATGTAATAACGTAAACTTATCTTCTTCCCAACGCTACAATTGGAGACACGAAATGTAAGTTCGAGACACTTTCTAAAACCGTTCGTGCACGCATGCGCTTTCCCACGAGTAGAGACTCCTACGTAGGCTTTGATTTTGAACCGACTTTAATCAAACGAATTTCTTAAATGTTCGGAACTCTCGTCGCCTGCGTGCAGATAAAATTCGACTCATTGAAAGAAACGAAAAAGAAACCAAGTCAGAATACACGTAGAACGTTCCATCGGTTGCAGTTAGACTCGAATTTCTGAAATGTATGAAACGCACAATCTCAACTGATCCCCCCCCCCCTTGTCTTTCTTAGCACGAGGAAGTACATTGGAATTAGAACAGATACAAGAACGGTACATGAGCTGTCTGCGAAGTTTTGTCGAGCACAGCGCTCCTCAGCAGCCGGGTCGATTTCATGATCTTCTTGTCAGGTTGCCCGAAGTAAGTCCAGAAAAGAAAGTAAATATACCGAATGCGAGAAAAGTCGCCAAAGTGAATAAAGTAAAATATTCACGATTAATATGCAACTTAAGTAATTGAACGCTCGGATCCAGATCAAGCGATCGAACGCGAAGAAACGCGAATGAACGATTTGCTTAGACGAGTACGAATGATGCGAGTTCGCCTGGTCTAGATCCGGCTTAAGAAGCATTTCTTATTTAACTCTAGTAGTTTTGGCTCTAATTGTTTTCGCTGCGCGCAGAATGCAACAGTTATCGTCCTGATGGCCCCGTTTAAGCAGAGAATCCGTTTGCTTGTTGGATTACAGGTACAATCGGCGGCGACTTTACTACTCGAGAGTAAAATGTTCTACGTTCCTTTCCTATTGAACTCAGCAATTCAAAGATAGTAAATAAACAAAGTGACGATAAACGAAGCTGAATACCTATATACATACTATACATACGTTATAAATATATACACAGAAAAGAGGTGAAAAGAACCGAACAAACAGACAAGCAACAAATGAACAGGGAAAAAAAACAGAAAAGAAAAGAGTCCAATGAGAGAGAAAAAGAGACGACTCAAACCGAACGGGGAAAGGCTTTGTTTGCGTATGTATAATAAATATATAAAAGTATATATATAAAATATATATATACATATAAATAATATAAATAATATAAATGTGTGTTCGTTGCGTTGTACAAACGAAGGAGGACGAAGAGGAGGAATCGTTCGAGGGAAAAGAGACGAAAAGAGAGCACAGGTGGACGATAGAAAGCAATCCACGTCGGGACAACGACAGAGAGAGGATAGAAAGCAAAGAGAGAGAAAGAGGAACGATTTTAAATAGGATATTAAAGAAAGAGTGTATATTTAATATGTATTATTATACGCACGTAATACGTATTACATATATGCCCGTATATAAAAGTTAGAGGAGCGAGAGAGAGAGAGAGAGAGCGAGAGTGAGAGAGGGAGAGAAAGAAAGCGCGCCACCTCGAGATGGGCAAATCAGCCGAGGTGGGAACTGAACTTTTTTATCGAAACTAAAAGACTATAATAATATATTTCTGTACGCAAACACGTACCGCGCAACTACGTCATTGTGTGTTCACATTGCATAATCCGATCGATAAAATAAGACTCTCGTTACGTACCGCTCACCGTAGGCCACCTACTACTATTATTACTACTACTACTACTACTACTACTGCTACTATTACCGCCACTTTCTACTACTACCGCTCTCGAAGCTAAGGGGGAAAAGAAGAAGACGAAGAGGAGGAGAAAAGGAAGATATAAAACACGCAGCAGCAGACACATCACGACTGACTGAAGGATCAATAGTCCGGATCGATCGACCGACCGATGATCGACGATGATGGGTTTTCTCGTCATTCCGTAGCTCGGCGTAGTATCGTCGTGAGCCGCGATGCAAATTTTATCAACACGCGCTCACTCGCGTTACACACACAACACACACACCTACACAGATGTATCTTCTAAATGCCTGCCGCAAATCTCGCCGCGACGTACAGACTTCTGGATCCTCTCCTCCGCGGCTAGCCGTTCGCCACCACGTGCGAAAACGTTAACGACGTACGTAAGGAGTGTGATACACGCTACCGTAGTCGCTGGCTCTCTTCTCCCGCGCGCTACCACCCGGGTACCCGCGCGCCATCGCCAGAGGAGGGTCCCGCTACGAGCCCTCGGGATCGCGTAATTCTATGGGAGGAAGGCGCGGAATTTTCACCTCGAATCCGCCGAATCAGCGCGAGACAACTGGGACTCGAGCGGACGAGGTCCGCGTGAAATTCGAGGAGACGACGAGCGGGTAAGGTAGCCCGCGCGAGAAGGAGAGTCGCGAGGAAACGAAACTGTAACGTAAGAGCTTCGGTGTTTCACGTCCGTATCTCACCGCATGCATCTGGACGCGAGTATTCGCTGCGTACGTATAATATCACGACGGCCAACGTCGAGTCGTCATTGTCGTCGTCATCATTATTGCCGTCGTCGTCGTCGTCGTCGTCGTCATTCAACACTCCGCAAGCAACGGTCCAAGCGCGCAACGCAAAAGACTCTTACTCTATTGTAATACCGGTTCGCTCATTTATGCCTTCGACGCGACTTTTACAAACGCATGCATCAATCATTCTTAGGATTTCCCGCCTAGCGTCGCGTGCTCTTCGGACGATCCTCGAGCTTCCGTTCGCGACTTCTGTGAAGGCCATTTACGCCAACTTTCTACTTATTTTAACGCACTAGCTGTAACATAGAGTGGTTTTTATAAAGACGGCTGAAGCACGGAATTAAGACTCGTGAGAACAAAATGTTAGGCCGACGGAAAAGTTTCGTTATTATTAATGAAAGAATAATTTAAAAACAACGCGAGATTTGTTAATCGAGTTATAGATGTTTATAAAGTCGATTCTCTATTTTGTGTTAGTAGTAAAAAAATTTTTAATATATAATCGTTGTGTAAATGGGATTTTTTTTATTATTTGTTGGTTGAATTCTAGTCGATTTTTACGTGATTCTTTTTGTTTACCGAAGTTCTTAGCATACGGAGTAGTGGCCTGCCTTGTAGGGGTGACGAGCAGAATTAGCGTTGAAAATATTACAAGATACGTAATGTACATAATACTTTTGCAAAAGAAAAAAAGGAACGAACGATTTTGGTACGATAAGATACTGTAGGATAAATTTTTAGATCGTTTTGATAATTTTTTATATGAGATTTTATATATTGCTTTTATATTTGCCGATGAGTTTTCTATTTTAACTTTTAATGTACGGGACATTATATGGCATTTCTTCTTCGCATTTTCATTAGATTATATAAATGTGTACAATTGTCAAAGTAAGAAATGGGAAGTCGAGTCGTCCGGAGCACACGCGTCGTTTGTTTCTCCGATAATCGCGACTAAAATACGACGAGCGGAAAGTTCACTCGTGTTATTCCTCGCTGGAGCGATATTTTCATAGTATTACGACGAAAAGGAAATAAATGAAACGTGTATATATATTTAAAAAAAAAGAAACGAAACGCTGCATTAGTACTCGTATCCCAGTGTCGCGAGGGAGTTTCGCGAAATTTTATTCGGTGTTACTGTTCGAACAATCATACGTCAATTGTATAAAAGAATCGTCCCTTGCCATTTTTGTCTTCTTTTTTTACTGAATACGTAGATATACGTACATATACGCAAGTGCGCACGTGTGTACCCGCGTGGACCGACTATGACAATCGACCTCGCGAAACTAGGATACCGGTCGCTCCTAGCTCAATTATTTGTGAGAAACTGCAGAAAGGGTAAAGAAAATCGGCGGTTGACGCCAGTCGAAATGTTGTTCGTGTCTTGGAAGATATTGCTCCTTGTATACGCATGTAATGTATTATTCCGCGCACGTTCTGCTAACGTGGTTGTTTCATCTTGCCTCTCCATAGAAGATATCGTAAACACGCGCTAATTGCCTGACAAGCTCGTGGCCACGGATGTCGATTTACGAGGTGTAATCTTCGTTCTCTGAGAAAGAGTTCAAGTTCGACCTGCATTTTCTTCTTGGTTTCGTTGCAATCCTGTACGAACCTCGCGCGAAGAAATATTCCTTAAAAACGATTTCCTGAATTGATTGATTTAATTCTAATTCTTCTTTAGATTTTTTCTTAAACTAAAGCCTAAAAAAGAATAATAATTGAAGCATAATTATAAATAATGATGAAATCGGTCTTTTATCAAGTCAATTAAAATTTGATATCTAACAAAGAAACTGCTTTTTATAATCACGAGTTAGAAACTATAGTTCACTCATTGATTAGAATATACAGTGTAATATAAATTTACGATTGTGTTCTATATTTGAATCTTCAGTATTCAAATGAATCCATAATAAAGCGCTGTTTGAGTCTTCAATTAACATTAATATGTAATTTAGTAGCAACGTGAAGTCGGTATGCAAATATACAGTTGACGGTAACTGCTATAAAACTATAATATATTATTTGCATTAAAAAAACTAGCAACTTTGCAGCTCTGAATTCGTAATCTGCACCTGTACAACTGACATTGAATGTGATATTATGTTTCTTTCTTATCTTCCTATTCCTTCAATCGGACCCGTGGCCGCGGGCAGCACGTTCCAGAAATCAACACGAACTACAACACAGACCTTGGGCCTATTTGCCTAGGGATACTTGTCCATACTATAAGACTTAACTAAACGATGAGATACTTCATACAGTAAACGTTGTACATTATTTGACGTTAAGGAACGTTAGGTGTAACGGTTTCTGTATTCCCCGGACATTATTGTAAATTGTCTCTGTATTCAATTGGACAATCGCGTGCGCGCGCTAAGCTTTGCTAAAATTATGAAAATTCATCTCGCGACCATCGATGAACAGAACGGACACGTGTCTCGTTTAGGATCGATTCGCACGCCACATGTTGATCAACTTCATTCGGATGAAGAAATCGGGTATTACGGGACGAGCACTGCCGCTCAGATCGACACTTCATCCTCCTTCGAAAGTGAATCCGCACAGATTTCCAATTCTGTAGAAGTAAAAAAAATTAATATGGCTTTCTTTTAGCTGAACTTACTTTTAAAAGAAATCGCATGTGCATATTCAGGTTTTGGAGAGAGGAAGAAGGAAAGAGAAGAATAAATAGATTGTATATGTAGAATGTAAAAAGTTCACCTGAAAAGATCGACACGAGGACTCTGTACTTTGTTAACGACATTCGTTGGTATCTTCATTATTAGAAAACGTCTAACGGAATATTAGTGGCAGCAAGTTGATGCAACACTGTGTTTTTCGATTATCCGAAAGATGTGTAATTACACGAACTCACTGCTATGTACCCATACAGCACACAAATGTTGAATCAACATCTCAGAAACGTTCCATTACAACGTTGTTATATTGCATCAATGTTACGAAATATAGATTCAACATTGAAAATTTTTGAAAAACGTCTAACGTCCGCTGAATTGTAATATTTTGTAAACGTAGAAGACTTTTTTACAACTGTTGAAAATTTTTTGTGCTGAAATTGGATTATTTTTCTAAAAGTAACGCTGGTCATTGAAAAAAATTTGATGAAATTTGTGATTTCTTTGAAAAGGACCATACAAGTTTATCTGCACTTGTAGGCAATGTCAAGATATATTAACTTGTCAATCTTACTAATTAAATACACACAAAATGTCATAAGAGCATCACGCTTATTTGAATATTCTCGGATATTCTGTAAATATTCCGGAATGTTTTGAAATATTCTTGGGACATTAATTTTGAATTTTAGGAACATTTTATAAATATTTCAGCATTATTTAGCGATTGCTGGGTACTATACATTTTCTTCAATAAGCGGACATTTTCTGGAAAAACAAATAGACACATAACAGCAATGAATCGCAATTAAGTATTAAAAAAATAATTTGTTCAATGTTGTTTTAACGTTGCAGCAACATAAAGTATCAATGTACAAAAATTAACTTAGATTCAACGTTGAAAACATATTTATACTTCAACATTCAGCATTGCAACGTTTCAGCAATATTATTTTAACACATACACACTAACAAAGTACAGAACGGACTTAACATCTTTTCTATCGGCAAAAGACGACCTGCCGTCGAGCTAGCATTGTGTAATATGAACGTAAAGATATACATGTGAAAGCGATATGTTACACGCTTTATCTTTCGTCTCCTTATCTATATTTTCTTCGATTTTTATTGTCTCGCTTCTTGTTATCGTTAGCTCGTAAAATCGTTGAGTACTTCCTGCCAAGAAATTGTTTATACAGTTTTATTTATTGTTAGTGTATTGTATATATGAGCGGCAGAGTATCGTTGTTGGTCGCGAGAAAAAGAATTTCAAATTCCAAAGATTTAATTTTTTGTAGATTTTATATACATATACATATAATATATTAATATATTTATGTAATATTTATATGTATATATATTATACAGGATTTCCGCGGATCGACACTGCTCCTTTCGTTCACGAATCCTCTAAATTATACAGAATCTATTTTTTGGCATGTTTTTTAGACTAATTAATTTCATTATTCAATCATTTCGATGATCGAAACGATCTCGCGGATATGAAAGTAATAAAACGAGCTTATTCCTTAGGTAATTTTAAAAAACTTTAACTTTTTAAAGCTTAAGTTAATGTTAAACTACTAAAATATTATGCAGACGTATTTACTCGTGAAAATGTGTAATTAAAATGAAATACTCGTGAATGGAAAAAGTTTGAAAATGTAATAAGCTAAAACTTGAACAAAAAAATATTTCTTTGAAAAGATCAAGTTAATCAGAGATTTAGAGGAGTGACGACCGCATCGGAGACATACTGTATCTACATTTTGTTTAAAAAAAAGAATGCAACACATCGATGTCTGGGAGTACAGCAGCTGCTTACGGGAGAGCTAAAGCGTTGGATCAGCAAGACTTAGGGCATTATATTACAAAGAGTATTATCATGCCCAACCCTTTAATATTTAAGTGCGAGTGAGAGTCTATCGAGCAAAAGAAAGATAAGAAAAAAAAAGAGAAATCTAACGCGAAAAAGAAAAATATGAGGAAAAAACGCGAAAAAAAAACCAGTGCGCGCCTCTCGTTTGTGGGTTCAACTTTGTGTACATATTGTACGAAAGATTTAATAATATAACTATGTTGAAAGTACTAGTCCTGTCTTTGTATAATTCCGTGTTAAATACTTGTGCTCGCGGCAGCCGCAAGTGACGCCGCCATGCGATGCCCCCGCGAAAATCACGGGGAAGCGAACGAAAGCGTGTGCGCGCAACAACTGTTCTCAGTATTACTCGATCGTGTTCTATCTCGCATTGACAAGTTAAGATACGAATTTAGCGCGCGCATTTTAGACAGAGAATGTCTCCACGGCGAGAACGTGTGCATTGCTCAACGCTCAAAAGTGCGCATAGCTTCGCAACAGCTTCTTCTGAGGCCACTCGTACTAGAAAGCCTTTGGACGACGTCTAATAAATCTTCGGAAAGTGTTAAATTTCAGTTTAAAGGAGGATCCTTTCGGTCTCTCGGAAATTTTATCTTATTGAAAAATCAGACTTTCTTAACTGAAACGACGCGACGTTTCGCGGACTAGCTCTCAAATCTCTGTCGCCATTTAACGTAGATCGCGTCAGTCCTGGTGCTACACGACTCTAGTGCCTTCTTGCATTTAGCGAACCTGCCGACGCTCAAGTTCTTACAACTGGCGTGAATTTAATTTCACCCTCTCTCCGCAGCCAATGGATATAATTTACATATAATTTTCGTTTTATAATTCTTTTAAGTTCTCCACTTTCCGTATGGGAAATGTTGCACACGTATCTTCTTTCGCTTCCTCTTGACCGGAGCAAAGAAATCGGCGCCCCTTGCTGCGATTACATCGAAAGGGAGGCACGAGAAGAAATGCAAACGTTTAACCCAGAAACGACGGTAGGGAAAGGAAAGCACGAAACGCCGGATTGACTAGAGAGAGAAAGAGAGAGCGAGAGAACGAAAGAGTGTGTGCGTATGTGTGAATGAGAGAGAAAGAGATACTTTTTCAATGAGTGAGTCAAAAGTTACCATATTTCTACCTACGTTTAGGAAGAAGTACGTTTTTATTATCTCGTTTATCTTCGATTATATTCCTTTTGTAATTGAGATTTCGGCGCCATCGCGTGAATCGCCGTTCTGCCGGAAACCGAGTTATCGCCCTTTCGCAATGCCGACGTCCATATGATAAATTTCCTCGATATATCGTGCGCCTCCTCGCTGCTGAGACATTTTTTTTCTGCAGCACAGCGAGAGGCACGTTGATAAAAGTCAATTACGACAATTACGTTATGCGTTACGTTCGTAAAAGTTGCGGATGAATGATTTGTCAACGCCTCCGCTTCCCGTAGACGAAACGTGTCATGCAAGTCTGTCCTTTTAGAACGAGCACCTCGCAATGTTTTTATATATAGATTTAATCGTAGATACGCGATACGAGTAATTGAAAGACTGACGAAGATCGCTGATTCCCACTCACTGTGTTACTCGACCAAATTAGATCGGTTGATTACATTAATCAATTTCAACTTTCCGTCTTCTAAATTCTGTCGATTGCATGAAAAAAAAAACCTTCACGCGTATTAACAACGAAAGTCAGTCATTACATTTGTCGCTGTTCGAGTTTCACTAATACGAGATTGTGATTTTCAACGTAACGTGACGTGATCTAGAATATAGTGCGAGTTTTGTAAGTCACGGATCGTAAAGCTGGTCGAAAGTTATCGCGGGCCGCTAGACGCGCGTATATATAATTAATATATAAAAATAAAGAAAGAGGAATTTATAATCTCGCTGGAGCAAAACGAGCGCGTCATTTATCGACAATTCGATCGATTCGATCGAGTGCCTTCGGTTTCGGGCAAAGCAGGCTGAATTTCACGCGTGTGGCGCGTGGACCCCCCTGTATTTTTATGAATAAATAAGATATTTAAAGAAAAAAAAGAAGTAAATCTGAAGTCTGTTTGGAGATGCCTTTCATAGGGATTATAAATGTAGATAATATATTATACATATTGAACATAAATACACTATATTATTATATATAAATATATATATATAAATAGTAAGGAGTAAATAGAATTATTATATATATATATGATGAAAATAATATTATTACGAGTAAATAAACTGATTAAAGATTAATAAAAAAAAACCTCGTGCACCGTTTAATCATGTCATATGCTCCTTCTCCTGCACAGGCTGCTCCTTATTTCATTCTTAAGGATTTGTACTTGCCCTCGCTACTACAACACACGAGCACTCCGGGAATATTATTGACAATGCGACAAAGTGCGATTTTTTGCGCATTTTTATTACAGACGTTCTTCATTACATTAACATAACAAAGTCTATACTTTCAAGGTACATGATGATCGTTTTAAAATGGTGTCTACCTGTGAGATCTTTAAGGATTATGCGCAGTGTTCAAGCTCCCGCACGGAGCACATTAAGCTAAATTAGTCTTCGTTATTTTATTTTTATCTTGCAAATTGTCTTTATTTGTTCTCTCTCTCACTCTCGCGAGCTTACCGATTATTAATATCGAGTCGCCGCAAGCGCTTGGACACTTCGATAAGATTAAAGCGATCACAGACAGAGGCATTCCGGTAAACGAAAACGGCCGCGAACGCCCCAATAGATACGGAGGCTAATACTTTTTTTTTTTCTTTTAGGATTTCTACGATACCCGTACTGCACGTAGGGCGTTCCCGCCGTTGCGAAACCGTTTCACGACTCGGAGGCTGCAAATGTAGCGAGTCGAGTTTGTAACGCAAGCTCCGTGTCCCGATTCGTTCTATATGCGCTCTTTCTACTTAATGTAATACATTACTCGCGTAGAGCATCGCGTAATCGTACGTTGTAATAAATGTAGTACAAATAGAGAATATATCGCGCGTGTAATGTTATAAAATGTAAGAGTTAGACCTAAAAGGTAGGTAAAAATCGTAAAACGTAAGTATATCGTAGAAAAAGTTTTGCGACAAAGCAATGGTTCGTTCCAAATAATAGTGAAAGGTTTATGAAATATAGAAGAATAAAAAGAAAGGATGTGATAAAAATTTCCCCATACGCATTCTCGTTAAGCTCTGGTATTTGCATGATTCTTCGTCCTTATGTTAGTTCGTCTATGATTATCTGTCAGTAAGAAAGCATTTATACTTCTAGTAGACCGTCGTGTTATAGTTCTGAAGGCACTGTTCAAAAGTTTATTACATTCCTTGGAATAACGGGTCTTCGCAGAAGCCCTCCGAATAGTGCGACAAGGAGAGTCGTTATAAACATCGACATGACCATTGCACACGCCTCCCTTCGGTCTATATCACAAAATTCAAAATAGAGTAGTCTCAACCTGACAGCCTATGCCACAATGCCAATGCCGTATTTGTCGGGTCTGTGATCGGTTAGGAATTATCGTGAGCTAGCAAAAATCGATGGTCAGAATTCAGGCTTATGATACGCAATGGCCGGTGCATTCCATTAATTATGTCATATCAATATCGTATCATTATATTACACAAACGCTTATTAATTTAGAGGCACATTGCTAAGGGTCTCGGTTTGTTTTCTTTTAAAGTTGCTCCCTACATTAATGAACTTATGACAATTAGCTAATTACGATTATTCAATACGACAGCGATTTGGCATACGATATTGGAAATTGTACAAAGATTCGGAGAATGCAATAGTATTTGAAAATATTGCTTTGTACATATATGTATATGTATATTTATATTTATATTTATATAGAAGAGAAGTGTGACAAACGAACGGTGGATATCTTTTCAGAAAAGAATATTAAAGTGTATCAACGTAGTTTAGAGACAATATTTGAGCTTAGAATTTCTTAAAATTAAGCGTAAAAAAATGCCATGTGCATAAAAATAATAAGAGAACTCTCTATGATGCTATTAACGATCCCGCTATCGGATATCTTACCCCTAAGCAGGAAAACTTTGGCTACTGCTACACGCTATTTGTACCTCGGCAAAAAAGAGCCGAATTTGCGATTCTTGCTAAGAACACTGATTGCGCATTTAGAAGAAAATAAAAACAGCACGCAGCACACACAGTACCTAAACCAGCAACAGATCATTTATATGTTCAGGAAGACCTTAACAGTACTATATATGCTCACGCTTTAATAAACCTGAATTCTACGCACAACGATTGTAATGTCAGAGAAGCATTCACCATACTCAGAGTGTACTTTTTGCCGGAATGTTTAAACGTGATATTTCTTATTATTCCCTTCTTTTTATTCACACAGCACTGGACTACTTGCGTTATCTGCGCTCATAAATTATTTAAAAGCTCTTAGTCTTTTGAACATCGAAGTCCAGAATGCTGCTCTGAGATATGAATGCTCTACAGAATGTACATAGACAGCAAAAGCGTCTAGACCACAGAATGTTCACATTTGCTCTGATGCAAAATATCGTTTTCTTCTTTTTTTTTCTCGTGCTACAAAAATCAGGCTGATGCAATGGCAGATACTATGTATATATATAAAAGTTAGCTTTACAACATGTAAAACCTGATAAAGTTCTTAAAAAATCTAAAGAACATTCCCTGAATAAGAGCAATCACACGACAATTCAGTCCTCTAAGTGTCTTACTTCGATCGTAGAACGCATCAAACAATTTCTTTTAAGGGAATCAAAATTTTCTAGAGTAATATGTATAATCGGTGATATATTCTCATGAATGTATGGTTCCGTCATGGTACCAGCCTGGGATCCGGCCAATCAAATCATGTGATTCCATAGTGTCTAGACACAGATAATTCTCTTTCGCATCCGTACTGATGAGCCACTAAGATAGATCACAAAAAGTACGGAGTGGGCGTTAGAGGTGGGATTACTCTCTCGGAATCAGGCACTGCCTGGAACAGCACGGGTGTTCTCTGATCCACTGTCGTGAACTGCATGATACTAGCTATGTTACCACATCGATAACAATAATTCGGAGCCGACCACACTGTGACGAGTTTGTCATTAAACATGTACCTATAACCTGCACAATAAAAAAAATGTATGCATTATCAAAAATACATACTTTAGATATAAAATAAAACGCTGCAGCAAAACTCGTGAAATATTTGTGAGCGAAGACATACCTTCCTGAACTAGTTGATGCGCCCTACAGATGAGTTTAAGATCATTCACCTCCATGAACATGTAAGTCACTTTGCTGCCAAACAGCCAGCCTGCGCCGCGTGGACTTACTGTCCATGTTTCTACATCTTCTGGATCGGACCAGACCAAATCACAGAAAGCACCTGTAAGCAAAAAATGTATAACTGTTATTGCACAATATGTATTATATAACGGCAGTATAGCCAGTCATGCAACTTTTATTTCGCAACGAAACGTTACTTTACACAATTACATACCTTTGTGTGGAATCTCTTGATTCCTTTCAATCGTTCTAATTTGATCTAGTGTTCTAATAGCCGGAGACAGTCCACCATGTACACAAAGAACCTGTTCATCAATTAACTGAAACAGAATTTAATTCGATTACAATCGAAGGTGGAGCTATAATTCTCGAAAAGATCTTATTTTACGCGAGTACTCACGGCAGCAACTGTGAGCAAGTCAAATACCCTACAACAGTACTTCCACGCATTGGCATTGCCGTACTTGTTTTGGCATTCATCTGGAACAGACAGTGAAGCAAACGATGAGATCAAAGCTTGGTTGTTGGCGCAATCAAGTTTGCCAGGAAAGAGAGTGTCGTTGTGCGCTCACCATAAAATCCATAAACGTGCGTGATTTGTCTAGATTCGTGATTACCGCGTAGTAACGTTATCCTGTCGGACCATTTAGCTTTAAGTGTGAGCAGACGTGTGAACGTTTCTAAGCTGTAGTAGCCCCGATCGACGAAATCCCCCAGAAATATGTAGTTTGTATCCGGTACGGGGCCACCGTTGCGGAACAGCTCCTCCAAATCGTAGAACTGCAACAGCACGAAAACGTGAGCGGTCTGACGTACATTCACGATTGTACAATTAACTACACAGTTACAGAGTATAAAGGTAACGAGGTGATAGACAACGATAAACAGAGGGGGGTTAATACTGCCATGACGCTAATTCGTAAGATTAAAAGACGGTCTACAAAACATGGGGCAAGGAGGAAGAGCAGGTATAAGGAAACGTAACATTTACCTTTTGCGTAATGGCTCTTGCAGACCAACGCGGCGCACGATAGTCCAATGGGCGTAGTCTTCATGGGAAAACTGTGCACTTTCCCATAAAATCTGTACGCTCATTAGATAATCGCGCGTCGCGTTGTCGCGCTGGTCTGCTAGAGCCATAAGGATACTAAAAGCGAATTCGGGTGCTTGAACTAGTGCCCGGTTTTATCAAAACGTCGCTTAACTTAAATCTTAGCTTAATTCATGTTTGCCTCTTTCTAAAGTAACAGTTGGAAAGAGACAAAGAACGAATTAAGCTTAAAGTTAAACAACGTTGGTGAAACCGGACCCAAGACTTGTCTACAGTCCAAATTCTTATAATTAGCTTGGTCTTAAATACACTTCCGAGAAATATTCGGCTAAAAAAAATGATCCGTACGGATGCTGTACAGATCATTTTAATGGCTGAGAAATATCTTAGGAGACATTCAAGACGATCCTTAAATATAAAGGTTGACCGTAAACAAGCCTTAGCGTGCACTCAGCGCGCACTGGCACGAGCAACCGAATTCATGACACAGGCATGATTTTTAAAATATTTACAACTCTGGCTGACCGCGCTCTGATTCGCCGTGGACAAGCGTAAGAGCTGAGGTTGAAGTATAAAAATTAAAAGTGATGTATTTCCTTACGCCTACTATCAGTTTTTTACTCCCAGGCCTACTCCACGTATCGCAGACCAGTCCTAAAATCCGTTAAAACTTGGCGATCCCGTGGCAGCGATGGACGATGCTTCGATTTTTTTTTCGAGGTTAGGGCGCGACATCCGGGACTTACCTGGCCGTGGATATCGCCGCACACCGTCACCGGGGTGGACACAGGCTGGATGTTGGACTCCTCCAGCAACAAGTCGCACACCATGTCGCAGAGTTTCTGCCGGCAACGATAAAGGGTGTAAATTATATCGGGAGAGGCGAAGCGCGCGTAGGGTGTACAAGCGAGTAACCTAATCGGCGCGTAACCGCGCGGCCGTTGTCGCGCGGGACACCGGCCGACCGGCAGGCACCGCGGTATTTTACCTTGAGATCATTTTCGGGCAGGTATTTGCATTCTTTCGCCGTCTCTATCCATTTATCGATGTCTGACATTTTGGATTCGCACCGTAGCAAAATACCAATACTGATCGCGCCCCCATACAGCTACGTCGTCCGCGCGCGCCCTATGCTGCTGGATCGCGCGGAGAGACGACAGCGCCCCGTGGCGTTTACGGCAGTTAAACCTTCAAGCGGATACGCATCAAAAGATTGCTCACCTAGGCGTGGGGACGCGTCTGCGGGTCTGTTCCTTTTGTCTTCTAGATTTTAGAGTACGATTATATTTTTTTTAGAGCGAAAACGAACGATGGAACAATTGCCAAAAGTTAATAAAAGCTTGTATCCACGATACTTGGTCTAAGTTCTGGTTCCGAGAAATGTGTAGCTAATCAACTTGCAGCTATTCCATAAAAGCTGCAAGTTGATTGGCTACACATTTCTTGGCACTAGAACCATAGACGTATAGACCAGAGAGAAGCCTGAGAGATGTCACGGCCCCGTTTTTCGTGATACGCGAATGCGATACGCCCTCTGTGGACATTGAAAACGTGGACATTGAACTACGTAGCCAATTTGCACATTTTGCTAAGTGGGTAACGCAGATTTGCGAAATTTTGGTTGCGTTTCGTGCTATAATCAGGTCCTGTGCGATGCTCTTGTGTACTTAAGATTATTTTAAGTACAAGATCATTGCATGGGATCTAACCATAGCGCGGGACGGGGCTAAAATTGTGCAAA